CAGCTCGCTGAGAAGGACGAGTTCGAGGCCAAGCAGAAGGAGCTCGAGGGCATCGTGAACCCCATCATGATGAAGGTCTACCAGGCGGCCGGCGGCGGTGGCATGCCCGAGGGTGGCATGCCCGGTGGCGGCATGGGCGGAGCCCCCGGCGGCGGCGCCAGCGGCCCGACCGTTGAGGAGGTTGACTAAGCCTGAGGCCGTACATAGTGTAAAGCAGGCGCTCGTGCGCAGCGCGTTCTCGCCAGCCTGCCTCACTATCTAAGCTGCCAACAAGGCTTCCCTCCAGAGACCAGGAATGCAAGCCGGCGCTGTACAGTGCATGCCGGAAAAGGAGGGCAGAACCTCATGCAGGTGTTACTGGCAGCGGTTAGCACTTTGACGATCTTGGGCACTTGGTGTGTCACGCTGCTTCTTCTGCAGCCGTCAGTTTTGCCATTCCTAAACATCCTGTGCATTTTGTCCTTAAGCGCCATGGCCAAGAAGACCGCAATCGGTATCGACACTCGGCTTTGCATGGCTCTGCGCCCACCCGCCTGGGCCGGATGCAGTGCCTATACCTAGAATCATCTCTGATTCCCATTGCTGTCCCGGCCTAGATTTGCTGGGTTCTCACGTGTCGTGGAGTTCAGCTTCATGGCTGTTTCCAGAAACCCGAACCCTGCCGCGTTGAGGATCTTGGCACCACGTACAGCTGTGTCGGCGTGTGGAAGAACGACGGCGTCGAGATCATCGCAAACGATCAGGGCAACCGGACCACCCCGTCCTACGTGGCCTTCACGGACACCGAGCGCGTCTTGTATATGTGTTTTCGATGTGTAGTCCCCCTTAAGTACCTCTGAAGCCTGTGTTGAAAGACGTGTTGCTTTCCTTGGCCTCTTTAGCATCTGCAAGGCTTGATCGGCGATGCCGCAAAGAACCAGGTTGCACGCAACCCGGAAAACACTGTCGGCAGTTCGCAAAGAGAAGCCGTTTCTTTCTCGGGAGTCCGTTTTAACCGTGCGAAGGCTGCCGTTTGCTACATTGCATGGCTTCAACGGGAAATTGCAAGTGAGGTCTTCGATGCCAAGCGCCTGATCGGCCGCAAGTTCCAGGACCCCATCGTGCAGTCCGACATCAAGCTGTGGCCCTTCAAGTGCGTCGCCGGCCCCAGCGACAAGCCGCTGATCGTGGTCCAGGTGGAGGGTGAGGACAGCTTCAAAGCACAGGGTTGAAGGATGTTGAAGGGATTGACGCCTGAGATCTCTTCTGTTCAGTTTTGACACGGACCGTATGCCCTTCCTTTCGCAGGAGAAGAAATTTCATCCGGAAGAAATTTCCTCCATGGTGCTCCTGAAGATGAAAGAGACTGCGGAGGCTTACCTCGGCACGAAGCTGAACGATGCCGTGGTTACGGTGCCGGCGTACTTCAACGACTCGCAGCGCCAGGCCACCAAGGATGCGGGCACCATCTCGGGAATGAACGTGCTTCGCATTATCAACGAGCGGCTCAGCTTGATAACTTCTCGACTTCGGGTCCATTGTGGGCCGTGTGCAGGGTTAAGGCACTGAGGCTTACAATAGCTGTACAATGAAGGCACAGCTGACGAGCGGTCTCACTTGCCTACAAAGCGCAGTTTCCGGCACGCCAACTTCCGTATTTGATGGGTGTGCGAGATCTGAGGCCAACGGCAGCAGCCATTGCCTATGGCCTGGACAAGAAGGGCTCCGGCGAGAGGAACGTCCTCATCTATGACACTTGGTGTTTGCAT